TGCGCCAGTGGCACAGGGATGCGTACCGTGACTCTATATTTGAGCACTATATTTTATTTGGGCCTCCTGTGCCTGATCGCCCCTTACTGGAACTGCTGCTGAGCTATTATGATGAAGCCAATGACAAATTTTCTATCCCTGATTCAAAGACTAGTGGGGTGAAAAGAGTTAAATTTGATATACAATGGGTCCACAACCATACATATTTCCCAGTTAATGGAGAAGTCCCAAGTATCAATCGGGACTCAAAAAACAGAATCTGGGTGCAATACTTCGCTCCTCTTTTCAAGACTGAAGAGGGGAAGAAGTTAAAAAAAGGAACAAAGACCCATCGCAGTTACCTCGAAGGGCAACTGGAGAGGCTTGTGGAATCTACAGAACAGCAGGATATCCAAGACTTTGTTCTGCTACAAATTCTGTACCAATGCTCTTTGATATGGTGCCCCAGATGCGGGGAGGGTATCCCTAGACCTATACTCAGGTACCTGGATAGCATTGAGAGGGTCAATGGAGTTGCATGGGCCCAATTAATTTATTCAGAAATTATCAGGGGCATTGGGGTTGCTTTGAAGGGCAAGAAGAAGTCAGGGATGACACATGTCCCAGGTTGCATGACACTATTGTGTGTAAGTTCCATGTTTTACTCACTCAGCAAGTATTTTTGTTCTGATTTATGTCATGTGAGTTCTAATGTATGGTCATGTTAGTTCTAACTTATTTCATGTTAGTTCTAATTGGGGTCATGTTGGTTCTATCTGTGGACATAAGTTAGAACTAACAGAGATCATGTTAGTTCCAATTTATGCCATGTGAGTTCTAACTTTTAGCATGTTAGTTCTAGCTGCACCCATGTTTTATTTTAAATCGCTAATCATTTTAGTTCTAATTCATGCCTTGCGCGTTCTAATTTGAGTGCTTAATGTATTTGTTACAGCTTTGGTACTACGAGATGACCGGCATAAAGAAATATGCCTACGTCGACTACTCCAAACCTCCAATGACATGTTGGGCTTCAGCGGATGTGAAAGTCTCATCTATGAGGGTGAGGACAATAACATCAAAGGCTAAGGCAGCTTCAATAGCTTTTGTCCATAGGCCTATTGTGGAAGTAGGGCCTGCTCCTTCAAATATACGTGCACTTCCCGCGGTACCGAGGGGCGAAGGAGTGCATCATAAGCCTAAGGCAAAGAGGAAGGCGAATGAGGAGGAAACGAGGAAGAACTTATCAATAGGCTATGTAAGTACAATGTTAAGTCTAACTTATTTCACGTTAAATGTAAACAACATCCATGTTAGTTCTAATCCTATTTTATAATATAATCTCCAAACCATCTCAGATCATTGCAAAGCATATTGACGATTCCATTGATGATGAAGAGGTGGAGAATCTACCCATTGAGCAGCAGCTTGCTTTTTGGAGAAATTCTGCTAAATGTCTCAAACGAATACTATCTGCCACAAAGCAGAGCAAGAGTACATATTGTAAAGAATTTATGATTGAGATCAACAGGCTAAACACAATAGTTCAAAAGCTTGGAAGCCATGATGAGATTATAGACCCGGTGGTGCTAAAGGCAAATATCAAACAGAAAATTGTGGATAGGAGGAAGTTGAAGACACGGGTAACTGAGGAGGAACAGCATGGCAAATCAAGCAGAGCACATAAGGAAGGCGCCACCATGCAAGAAGCTGTACATAAGAATGTTGAAGAGGTTGCTGAGGAGCCTGTTGATGATTTTGTTGTACATGGGTGCGATGTTGATTTGGGGGTCACCACAATGGAAGGCAAAGTTGTGGATGAAGCCCCCGAGAATAAAGATGAGGAGAGTGTAGATAGAGAAGATATTATTGTAGATAATAAGATTGAGGAGGATGTAGATAAGGTGGATGAAAATGTAGATAGGGAAGTGGAGAATGCAGATAGGGTAAAGGAGCATGTTGATAACGAAGAGGGGATTGTACATAAAAAGGAGGAGATTGTAGCCCTGAAGACGAGCATGTTGGTAGAGAAGGGGAGAATGTAGAGAGCAGGGCTGAGGAGATTGTACATAAAGGGGAGGAGCCTGTTGATATGGGAGGGGAGCATGTTGGTGGAGAAGGGGGGGATGTAGATAGCAATGCTGAGGAGAATGTAGATAAGGTGGATGAAAATGTAGATAGGGAAGTGGAGAATGCAGATAGGGTAAAGGAGCATGTTGATAACGAAGAGGGGATTGTACATAAAAAGGAGGAGATTGTAGCACCTGAAGACGAGCATGTTGGTAGAGAAGGGGAGAATGTAGAGAGTAGGGCTGAGGAGATTGTACATAAAGGGGAGGAGCCTGTTGATATGGGAGGGGAGCATGTTGGTGGAGAAGGGGGGGATGTAGATAGCAATGCGGCTATGGATGTAGATACTTCACACCAGGTGGACAAGATTATAGAAGATCTGTCAAGGAATGTGCAATCGGAGACAGATGAAGCAGCTCCACCAAGGAATAAGCCCAAGGCAGGTAGTCCACCGCCGAAAAGGGAAAGCAAGAGATCTAAATGGAAGAGGACCCCTTACACAGAGGGAAAAGGAAAGAAAAAGCAAAAAGAAATGATAGATCTCATATCAAGTCCTGAATATGTACATACAGAGAAGAAAGTTTCCCATTTTTACCCCGGCAACCAATATCCCACTTGGGATGCGTTGAGGTTGAAGCCAATGTCAGCGGAGGAGAAATCTTTATTGGGCGAGCTAAATAAAGATCTTGAAAACCCTGATGATTTTGACATCCGCATACTAAATAGTTCTGGTGCCTTTGTACATAATTTTAGGATATCATCTACAGTATCAACAAGACTCGATACGGCTGAAAATAATTGCCTAACCAAATTTTGCTCCCAAAAGGTTCACAGGTAAGTTTCAATTGACCATTTATATGCTAGTTCGTCCCATTGTTAGTCCTAATTGCCGTTTTGTTATGCTTTTCAGGAGATATGCTGTCATAAGAACAGACAACAGCCATATAAACAGAGAAGAGCTGTTGTATTTGCTTCGTGGTGGCCGGCTTGATGACAAGGTTAGTTTATACATGCTTAATAATTGATAATGTCTTTCGCGTATTGTATTTTAATGTTTCATTGATGTTACAGATGGAAGAGACATTGTTGGAAACGCTTCAGCAAGAGGCATATGACAAAAAATTTGGAATCGTCTCTGTGTACTTTCTTGTAAGTACATGTCAGTTCTCAATTAACGTGTTAGTTCTATCATGAGTCATGTTAGTTCTAGTTCGCTCAATGTTAGTTCTACCATGTGTCATGTTAGTTCTACCGTTAGTCATGTTAATTCTATTTGGCACCTTGTAAGTTCTGGTTTATATCATGTTTGTTCCATCATCCATCGTGCGTAATCCTGAATTCTCCCCTTTTAAGTTCAACCCATACATTACTTTGTTTGCAGCACTCACTCTATGGCGTCGGGACGGAACAGTACGAGCTATTTTTGAACTATATTGAAAAATATACCGCTGTCCGTATACAACACCTGTTGATCCCCTTGGTCAGGAACGATCACTGGCATCTTGTTCTGGTTGACCTGAAAGGAAAGATCGTCAACCACTACAGTTCAGCTGGCCACGAAGCTTGGATGGAGCCTGTTAATAAAATCATAAACTTTTTTGATGAACAGCATGTTGATTTTGTTGAGGCAAATGTGGAAATAACACGAGAACAGCTGGATCTATCACTGGAGAAGCGAGAACTTACAACAACTAAGTTGGAACGAACAAAGACGCTAGATCCAATACTTAAGCTCTAACTAGCGCTAGCCGGCTATAGAACTAACATGAGTGCCCTTAGACTTAACACGGAAGATGATAGAACTAACAACATCTAAGCAAGAACTAACAAAACCAGTAAAACAAATGACTTAGGCTCCCGTATGGATTCCATGGTGTTTTTTGAGCTAAATCGTCTTCAACCCAAAACATTATCACTTTTCCTAAACACCTAAAATAAGTTTTAATTTTGGTGTTTTGGTTTTGAGTCTGAGGAGGTGTTAATACAATATCTAGCATAATATATTAAATGTAATGCATATAGAGTTGACATGTTAATGTAATATCTAACATAATTTATTGGTAAAATATGTTAATGTAAAGATAATATATTCACAACACCTATTTATATATATCATAAATTACTAATATATTATTAAATTACTATTAATAATCTCAGCCCTATTAAAGACCATAGTATATTACATAATATTAGAATATTTATAACACATTAATTTATTAGTAACATACCAGTCATAAAATAATATTAACATTATTAAAAATATTATATTATATGAATGATTATATTATAATGACAATAGTATAATATTATGTTATATTAATAATAAAATAAGGTTATTTTAAAAATATAATATAATATATAACCGTAACAATTTGATATACCAAAATTATTAAATTATTTAACTATTTGAAAATAATATGTAATAATTATAAGATGACATAACTCATTAAGTACAATAGACCCAACACTTAAACTAGAACTTAAAGTTATATGGAGGTGGAAATAACACGAGAACAGCTGGATCTATCACTGGAGAAGCGAGAACTTACAACAACTAAGTTGGAACGAACAAAGACGCTAGATCCAATACTTAAGCTCTAACTAGCGCTAGCCGGCTATAGAACTAACATGAGTGCCCTTAGACTTAACACGGAAGATGATAGAACTAACAACATCTAAGCAAGAACTAACAAAACCAGTAAAACAAATGACTTAGGCTCCCGTATGGATTCCATGGTGTTTTTTGAGCTAAATCGTCTTCAACCCAAAACATTATCACTTTTCCTAAACACCTAAAATAAGTTTTAATTTTGGTGTTTTGGTTTTGAGTCTGAGGAGGTGTTAATACAATATCTAGCATAATATATTAAATGTAATGCATATAGAGTTGACATGTTAATGTAATATCTAACATAATTTATTGGTAAAATATGTTAATGTAAAGATAATATATTCACAACACCTATTTATATATATCATAAATTACTAATATATTATTAAATTACTATTAATAATCTCAGCCCTATTAAAGACCATAGTATATTACATAATATTAGAATATTTATAACACATTAATTTATTAGTAACATACCAGTCATAAAATAATATTAACATTATTAAAAATATTATATTATATGAATGATTATATTATAATGACAATAGTATAATATTATGTTATATTAATAATAAAATAAGGTTATTTTAAAAATATAATATAATATATAACCGTAACAATTTGATATACCAAAATTATTAAATTATTTAACTATTTGAAAATAATATGTAATAATTATAAGATGACATAACTCATTAAGTACAATAGACCCAACACTTAAACTAGAACTTAAAGTTATATGGAGGTGGAAATAACACGAGAACAGCTGGATCTATCACTGGAGAAGCGAGAACTTACAACAACTAAGTTGGAACGAACAAAGACGCTAGATCCAATACTTAAGCTCTAACTAGCGCTAGCCGGCTATAGAACTAACATGAGTGCCCTTAGACTTAACACGGAAGATGATAGAACTAACAACATCTAAGCAAGAACTAACAAAACCAGTAAAACAAATGACTTAGGCTCCCGTATGGATTCCATGGTGTTTTTTGAGCTAAATCGTCTTCAACCCAAAACATTATCACTTTTCCTAAACACCTAAAATAAGTTTTAATTTTGGTGTTTTGGTTTTGAGTCTGAGGAGGTGTTAATACAATATCTAGCATAATATATTAAATGTAATGCATATAGAGTTGACATGTTAATGTAATATCTAACATAATTTATTGGTAAAATATGTTAATGTAAAGATAATATATTCACAACACCTATTTATATATATCATAAATTACTAATATATTATTAAATTACTATTAATAATCTCAGCCCTATTAAAGACCATAGTATATTACATAATATTAGAATATTTATAACACATTAATTTATTAGTAACATACCAGTCATAAAATAATATTAACATTATTAAAAATATTATATTATATGAATGATTATATTATAATGACAATAGTATAATATTATGTTATATTAATAATAAAATAAGGTTATTTTAAAAATATAATATAATATATAACCGTAACAATTTGATATACCAAAATTATTAAATTATTTAACTATTTGAAAATAATATGTAATAATTATAAGATGACATAACTCATTAAGTACAATAGACCCAACACTTAAACTAGAACTTAAAGTTATATGGAGGTGGAAATAACACGAGAACAGCTGGATCTATCACTGGAGAAGCGAGAACTTACAACAACTAAGTTGGAACGAACAAAGACGCTAGATCCAATACTTAAGCTCTAACTAGCGCTAGCCGGCTATAGAACTAACATGAGTGCCCTTAGACTTAACACGGAAGATGATAGAACTAACAACATCTAAGCAAGAACTAACAAAACCAGTAAAACAAATGACTTAGGCTCCCGTATGGATTCCATGGTGTTTTTTGAGCTAAATCGTCTTCAACCCAAAACATTATCACTTTTCCTAAACACCTAAAATAAGTTTTAATTTTGGTGTTTTGGTTTTGAGTCTGAGGAGGTGTTAATACAATATCTAGCATAATATATTAAATGTAATGCATATAGAGTTGACATGTTAATGTAATATCTAACATAATTTATTGGTAAAATATGTTAATGTAAAGATAATATATTCACAATAACTATTTACATATATATCATAAATTACTAATATATTATTAAATTACTATTAATAATCTCAGCCCTATTAAAGACCATAGTATATTACATAATATTAGAATATTTATAACAGATTAATCTATTAGTAACACACGAGTCATAACATAATATTAACATTATTGATAATATTATATTATATGAATGAGAGTATAATATTATATTATATTGACAATAGTATAATATTATGTTATATTAATAATAAAATAAGGTTATTTTAAAAATATCACTTTAATATATAACCATAACAATTTGATATACCAAAATATTTAAATTATTTACGAACTTGCCCATCTGAAAGGACTAACATGGGTTACCGCGCCCCCTCCCTACTCAAGTACCCTTTCTCACTCTCTCTCTCTCTCTCTTCCACCGCTTAGGAGCCAAAACTCTCCAACTTCCAATTTTCTCGACGGATTTCAACAGTGGTAAGGATATCGCCGGAAAAATGTCGTCCGCGGAAGTAGAATCCGTTAACGATTCCGAAGTCGCTCATTGCGCCGATTCGAAGGGAAAAGATGGTTCATCTGGGATTGGCAGCGCGGAGGAAGCCACTCAAACCCTCTTGGTCATGCAAAGGCAGGCAGTCGAAACGCGAGACCGGGAAAGAAAAAGGGCAGAGGTTGGACGTACCAGCGAACCGTCCCCAAAAAAGCAGTATGTGCTAGGTTTTATTCACTATTTTGAGACCTGACGTAATTTGCCCTAATTTCAATTAGAACTAAACAGTGATAGGTTCAAGCACAGCCCACGTTGGTTCTAGTTTGAGTCAATGTTAGTTATAGATTGAGTTCATGTTAGTTTTATAACAGCCCGCGTTAGTTCTATTAGATGACGTTAGTGTTAGGTCTAATTTTAGTGGGCGTTAGTTCTAATTTAACTTGAAAATTTTATTTCTTTACAGGAAAAAGCTTGCTGGAACTGAATCAGATGAAAAAATAAGGCTAAATGCCAACTTCGGGGCGTATTGGAAATTCATGAAGCGGATTGCCCCGAAGATGCGCCAGTGGCACAGGGATGCGTACCGTGGCTCTATATTTGAGCACTATATTTTATTTGGGCCTCCTGCGCCTGATCGCCCCTTACTGGAACTGCTGCTGAGCTATTATGATGAAGCCAATGGCGAATTTTCTATCCCTGATTCAAAGACTGGTGGGGTAAAAAGAGTTATATTTGATATACAATGGGTCCACAACCATACATATTTCCCAGTTAATGGAGAAGTCCCAAGTATCAATCGGGACTCAAAAAACAGAATCTGGGTGCAATACTTCGCTCCTCTTTTCAAGACTGAAGAGGGGAAGAAGTTAAAAAAAGGAACAAAGACCCATCGCAGTTACCTCGAAGGGCAACTGGAGAGGCTTGTGGAATCTACAGAACAGCAGGATATCCAAGACTTTGTTCTGCTGCAAATTCTGTACCAATGCTCTTTGATATGGTGCCCCAGATGCGGGGAGGGTATCCCTAGACCTATACTCAGGTACCTGGATAGCATTGAGAGGGTCAATGGAGTTGCATGGGCCCAATTAATTTATTCAGAAATTATCAGGGGCATTGGGGTTGCTTTGAAGGGCAAGAAGAAGTCAGGGATGACACATGTCCCAGGTTGCATGACACTATTGTGTGTAAGTTCCATGTTTTACTCACTCAGCAAGTATTTTTGTTCTGATTTATGTCATGTGAGTTCTAATGTATGGTCATGTTAGTTCTAGTTTTTTCCATGTTAGTTCTAACTTATTTCATGTTAGTTCTAATTTGGGTCATGTTGGTTCTATCTGTGGACATAAGTTAGAACTAACAGAGATCATGTTAGTTCCAATTTATGCCATGTGAGTTCTAACTTTTAGCATGTTAGTTCTAGCTGCACCCATGTTTTATTTACTTCGCTAATCATTTTAGTTCTAATTTATGCCTTGCTAGTTCTAATTTGAGTGCTTAATGTATTTGTTACAGCTTTGGTACTACGAGATGACCGGCATAAAGAAATATGCCTACGTCGACTACTCCAAACCTCTA